ATGGAACGAGTATTTTCCAGGAAATTTTTACTCTCAGAATCTTCGTTTGTCATTAATCTTTTTAAATATGCCGGGTAATCTGGAAAATGTCTATCATTTGGACAGACTTTCCCTTTGCTACGACATCGAGTAAATTTCCCATCGGATGGTTTTTCATCCGAGAAATTGAGTGATAGGCAAAATTCACATTGAGCAGTCTTTCCATCACAACTGTGTTCGAGGATTGCATATTGGTAGTACTTGTTGATGACTGTTCTCTCAACATATTCTGTCGTTGCCACCACCTTCTTTCAACTTCAAAGGCACGCTGCTCTGCAGACATTTTCTGTTGATAACACTGGTGTTTTTCGGCATCAGAGCAATGTTTTTCCAGTAGCGGGTGTTCAGATACATCCTTTCGCAGGCGCTGCCTTCTTTCAAGATCAGATGCATGCTGCTCTGCAGACATTTTCTGTCGATAACGTTGGCATCTTTCGGCTGCAGAGCTACGTTGTACCAACAGGTGTTCTTTAGACATAGTCCCACCTCTCTACTGTCACGGTCTGAGATGCAGGTGAATGAGAGTCCTGGCTGTCAGGCCACTGAGAGCTGGTGGGCGTGGCTTGAGCATAGCAGAGGGACGGCTAATTTGCATGTTTCTCTTTTATTATATAGGATATAAGGTAGATATTGCTCTCCTCATTTTTTAAAATATATTTTCTTGATTTTTTTACAGAGAGGAAGGGAGAGAGATAGAGAGCCAGAAACATCTATGAGAGAGAAACATTGATCAGCTGCTTCCTGCACGCCCCCCACTGGGGATGTGCCTGCAACTAAGGTACATGCCCTTGACCGGAATCAAACCCGGGACCCTTGAGTCTGCAGGCCAACGCTCTATCCACTGAACCAAACCGGTTCTGGCTGCTCTCCTCATTTTACAGCTGAGACTGATGCTGAAATAAATCAATTAACTTGTTCAAGGTGACAGAGCCAGTAAATAAGGTTTTTGGACCTCGAACACTCCTCTCCCCAGGTGTTCATGCAGCCGGAGTGAATTAAGCACTTATTATGATGTGGCAGATACTGCACTGAGGGCTGGGTATCCAGAGGGGAAAAGATTGGCCTGGGCCCTGCTCTGACTGGGTGTGGTCACTGCTTGGCACTTGAACTCTGTTTCCGTCTAGTATGTCTGGACTTTATCCCTGGGCACTGTTGTCTCCAGGCCCATGCCATGCTGCCTTGTATTTGAAATTTGTAGTGTTCCTATTGACCTAAGGCTTCCTTTGCCTCTGCCCTAATGATCTTAATGGTCTAATTAATTGAGAGACAGGTAAGACAGATGAGAGGACAGTGCAAAATGCTGGATAGGAAATAATTCACTGTTAAATTGCATCATATCCGAAAGGCCTTG